CCTCCAACCTCCCCCCCCCTCCAACCTCCCCCTCCCTCCATCCTACAGTGTCAGGGAACCAGTGCTGGGCTTCCTCTGCTCAGCAGGACTTCCAAAGGAGGGGGACAGGCTTCAGGAAGGCTGGAGGGTTGATTATTTTCTTTTCAAGGTGTAATTTGCCTAAAACAGCAGATTGCAGCCACCCTCTTAATACCAGTGACCCGTGAGCAAGCCACAGGAGAACTGAAAGGAGAGAAAAATGAATAGTTTGTATAAAAATTAAATAAAAAGAGGAAAGAAATGGTTCTCCAAGTTCAACTTGAAGCGTAGATCCAGTTTTAAAACCATCACCCAGCTTCCTTTCCTCAGAGAAACCAACTGGGAGCTGCTCTTGGTCCTCCTCCTCCTTTGCCTCCAGTAAAACTCCCCCAGAGCAGCTGCAGAGCTCACTCCACAACCCACAGAGCCCAGGACACGCCCAGAGCTGCCCCTTGCTCACCACGAGTGGTGTCCAGGGTGGATGCTGTGGGATGAGAGCTGGCTGGTGTCTCCAGGAACCCTTCACAAAGCATCTGGAGTCCAGCCTTGGCTTCCTTCATCTGCCTTCCATGCTGTAACTCGCCCAAAATGAAGCACTTCAGAGCAACGTGGGGAACTTCATCCAGGGCAAGTCACCTTGGAGCACAAGTAGCCCAAAAATGAGCTCGTAAAAGAACAATTTACAGCTCCAGTAGGGGTGGGTTTGGTTAAAATTTGATGTAAAAAAAGCTTGGTTTAACTTAAAATCAACCCCACGACTCCCTGTTTTTATTACTGACCTTGCCAAATGAAGTTGATTTAAAAAGTGATGCAAATCTTTATCTCTCTCTATATATTTATGATCATTTATATATTACAGGCTTAAGAAACAACCCTTTGGCCTCGTTGTCTCAGCCTTAAGAACCTTTTAAACCCTTTAGATCCTACTCGACCTACAAAAATAAATACTGCATGCCCCATTTCTGAGCCAAACCAGCAACAGAGCTCACCAGAATCCAGCAGTAAATCAAAAAAAACAGAAGCTCTTCAGGGTCAACTCTCTCTGCTGTAAGACTAGGTGCCAAAATATCTAAATATCCAAATCTCTCAAGCCCCCCAAAACACCGTGAACCTGTTGGCTTGGTGGACACCAACTCGGACGTCCACCAGCCCCTTCCTCCTTGCAGCTGGGGGGCAGGGACTGTAGACCCACCTCTCCTCTTCTACTCACACTTCAGGAACAGAGATTTTAGAGGGTTTTTTTTTCTGGTTCAAAAGTCAGCTTAGAAACCCTGGTGGTTTTCTGCCCATCACAGCGTGGTGTTTGGACTCTTCGTGCTGCTGGTGGACAACCACAGAGGAAACATCTGTGCACGGTGCTGACCTGCTGCTGCTCCTTTGACCTCCTCCCTTCCAGCTACAAACTGCCCTCTCCAAGAGGAGCAGGAGACGTGGTGGGACTGCAAAGTCATTCTGACTCTATGTTATCACCACAGCTTCTCAAAAGAGGTTAAGGAGACCCCCCAGAGTTAGTGCTCTGAGCAAATCCTAACAAGGTTTCCAAGGAGTGAGGGACACGAGCAGCTGGGAGGGGTGTGGTACTTTTAAAGAACATCTCCTCGTGGAGAAAAGCCAGGCAGTGAGAAAAGCATGGATGGATCCATGGATTCTGGGAACATCTGGAGCTTCTTCAGAAGACAGCAGAGAAACGGGACGGTTGTACCCCCCCCAACATCCCACAAACACAAACCCAAGAGGAGGAACCCCCCTCCCATCTTCCAAAGACTGCTCCGAAGCTCGGGCTCCCTAGGCTGAGGTCCAACCTTCCTGCAGATGTTCCTCTCCAGATGTTCTCAGCTGCCCAGGCCCGTGACCCAACGCTGTGACATCAGCCCCAGCCAGAGACACGCGGCCGCCAGCAGCGCGGGCTGTGAGAGGCTCTGTGTCCTGTTGAGGGGGGAGAGGGTGGTGAACACGGCCTCCGTTGTGTTCCTGGGCAGGGGCAAGTTGCAGATGCTTCCTTCACAGCAGGAGGTGCAGATCTGAAAGAAACAATTTCCACCCCTTCAGGACCACGACGTTGGCCAGGGCAAGGAGGACACGCTTGGAGGAGGTGGTTTTCTACCTCCAAGAAGTAAACTCATGAAAACTGGTGGTGTTTGGTTGAAGAAGAGCTCACAGGATAGAACTTGGATCAAAGGCTTATGGAAGAAATCTGGAGTTGTTGAGCCTGGAGCAAAGGAGGCTCAGGGGAGACCTTCTGGCTCTGCACAGCTCCTGACAGGAGCCTGGAGCCAGAGGGGGTCAGGCTCTGCTCCCAAGGAACAAGCAAGGAAACAGCCTCAAGTTGCCCCAGGGGAGGTTTAGGTTGTCCCTGAGGAACAATTTCTTCCCCTTGAGGTTTGTCCAGGGCAGTGGTGGAGTCCCCACCCCTGGAGGGGTTTCCAAGCTGTGGAGATGTGGGGTGAGGGACACGGGGCAGTGGGGACCTGGCAGGGATGGGGGAATGGTTGGACTTGATCTTCAAGGTCTCTTCCAACCCAAACGACTCTGTGGTTCCTAGAGGGGTGGGTTTTGTTGCCTATCACCTAGTGATAGACAGTTCCTGTGCCAGCCCATGAGAACATGCAGCTCTACCTCCTCAGGACCAGTTCCAGCACCTTGCCAGAGCACAGAGCTCTAGAGCCACCCAAGTACCACACGTGAGGCCAAGAGGCCACCAAATTATGAGAGATGGAGCTGCAAGGTGCCTGGCAGCTCAGAAAGCTTGGATTTTCTCCTGCTGGAGAAGTTCAAAAAGGTCAACCTGCAGAAAAAACCTTGTCCAAATGACTGTTCTATCAGATATAAAATGTCTTCTCTAAAGGTTCTGGGGCTTTTCAGTAAGAAACCCCTTGAGATGGTCAGTGAGCATCCACTGCAGAGCAGAAAGGACCAAACATGATGCAGCTCTGCAGGCAAAGTTCTCCTCAACAAACAGGAACGAGCTGGTTAAGAGGAGAAACTTCCTTTTTGCTGATGCTGCTCCTCCATGGAACCACTCAGAATCCAGGAGGATTCTGCTTTTCTAGATAGATATATAAAAAAAGGTGATTTTTAGCCTATACCTTGTATTCTTCATGCTTGATGTAAGTGCATCCAGTGGAGAGACAATCCTCTAAGGGCACACAACGTTTGGTGACAGACACACTCTCTCCAGTGGCCTTCATCATGTGTTGGCTAAAGCAGTATTTGGTATCTAGAAAGACAAAAAATGGTGTTTTTCTCTCAAATTGGAGTTTTATGACACACTACAAATAGGAAGAAATAGGAGAAGTTTTAGATGGTTGGGTTTTTTTTTTCCCAAATCTTGAGGATTAAAAAAACCCCCAAATAATCTCCCTTTGATGTGTTGATTGAAATACATAAATATCACTAAAGACACACAGAGCCCAAGCTCAAATTTGAGGTTTCAAGGATTTTGAAAGCTCAAATTTGAGGTTTCAAGGATTTTGAAGGCTCAAACCTGAGGTTTCAAGGATTTTAAAAGCTCAAATTTGAGGTTTCAAGGATTTTGAAGGCTCAAACCTGAGGTTTCAAGGATTTTGAAGGCTCAAATTTGAGGTTTCAAGGATTTTGAAAGCTCAAACTTGAGGTTTCAAGGATTTTGAAGGCTCAAACCTGAGGTTTCAAGGCCCTCTGGAACATGGAGGTTTATTCCCAACACCAACATGGGTTCCTCTGTTACAGGTAGAGGAGCATCCATTGGAATTTATTGGAAGGAGATCCAGGTAAACAGCCCAAATCTTGTGCATTGTTAATTTTCTAGGAATTATCTTTAACAAAAGCAAACATTTGAATGAGCTGAGTCACCCCTCCCTGTGTCCTAGCAGCCCATGCAAGCTGTCCTCACTGCTCACACTCTGATCCCACATCTCCCACAGCTTCTGCACAGCCTGGAGAAGCTCCTTCACCCTCTCTGTCCATCCAATCTTCTCAGCCATAAAATAATGCCAAAATATCAGCAGAAGAGCTGGGAGGATTGGATGATTTCTCAGTTTCCCACCATCAAATGGACTGTCTGATATTCCCACCCCATCTTCTGCACGCTTCTCCTGTGGATTCCACCAGCCTCAAGGGAGACCATCCTCTTCCTCCTCCTTTTTTTCAAGCCACCCCTCTAAGGGACAGGTGTAAAACACCCAGAAAATTCCAGCAGGATGACTGACAAACGCTGTGGTTCCCCTCAGGCATAAAGGAATTGGGGTTTATTTCATGCTTTGGTCATCAGAGGGATGTTGAAGCTGCAGTTCCCTTTTCTAGATGAAAGAATGAAGATGGAGAATTTCAGATCTTAGGATTTTGAAGATGAAAACACTGGATTTCCAGCCATTATATACCAAAGGATACCTGGCTTATTAATCAGCCTTATTATTCATAAAATCATTGCCCTCATGGGGTGAAAAAAAGGACCATAATTATCCTGAAGTGACCATTCCTGCCCAGCCCTTGTCTCCAGCAGACAAAACCCTGCATGCTTCTCATGCCTGAGGCATTTGGCAACGGCTGGGTGAGGTGGCCAACGTTATTTATGGGGCCATAAACCCCCCCAGACATCTGTCCTATCTTTGACCTCCTCTCAGCTCCATCCCAGCACACAGAGCTCCCTTGTCAGCAGAGGCTGGAGCTGCTGGGTGTGCTGGTTTCCTTCAGACTGCCCGGGGCTGAAACCTGAGGCTTGGACCATGTCTTCCTGCCCTCCGAGGTGTTCTGCCCCCAGGGGAGCACCTGGCGTGGTGGCTTTGAGCTTCTCCCAAGACCTAACTGGAAGTGGGAGGTCTTATCAGAGCCTTCAGTACTTAGTCTGGTCTAGAAGCAAGATGGGGACAGTCTTTTGAGCAGGGCCTGTTGGGACAGGGCATGGGGGATGGTTTGAAACTAAAAGAGGGAGATTTAGAGAGAAGGAAGAGATTTTTTTTGGGGAGCCCCTGTCCCAGGTTGCCCAGAGAGGTGGTGGCTGCCCCATCCCTGGCACCATCCCAGGGGAGGTTGGATGAAGCTCTGAGCACCCTGCTCTAGCTGCAGATGTCCCTGTCCCTGCAGGGGGGTTGGACTGGATGACCCCTAAAGGTCCCTTCCCACCCAAACCACTCTGTGATGATTCCATGATTCCCCCAAAAAAAACCTAAACATGCATCTCTGGAGCTTTATGTCTCCTGCAAAGGCTTTGTGCAGCAGAGCTGTCCCTTGACAGATCCCAGATGGAACAAATAAAGCTCCTAGCACCCCATAACTCTCTTGTGACCATTTCATTCTTTCTTCCAAGTGTGTTTTCAGAAAATACTGTGCAATCATCTCAGAGACAGGTACTTTCCCTGCACAGGGGGACCAAGACTCCTGCTCCACAGCCATTCCCAGTGGCCATCATCTCATGCAGGGCAGTGCTGCAGCTACAGTTAGACCATAATATGCAACAAAATCCACTCAGATTGACATTAACTTTGGCACTGCCTCTCTTCTCAGAGCAGGATCAGCACA